TTTCTAAAGTGCCCCAAACTCTTCGGGGAGCCAAGATGCAACTCCAGAATATCATTACAGATATTTTCAAATGTAACCTGCTGAACATTAGAGCCACAAGTAAAGCAGGAATGAGCATGATAGAGAAGTACAACGGTTAAGTATCAAGTTCTTATTCACTCGGAGTGCTCTCTGGATTATTCCATCCATATTTTCCTTTGCTTATTTTAATTAAGCCACCCTTGTTTTCTTTCCATGAGAAAAATGTATTTTAAAAAGAAACCTCAGTCAAAAGATGGCTGGAGAGCAATGATCACTGGGCCTTGTTCACACCGAACTGTATTGCATACCCAAAACAAAAACCCAACCATTCCTTATGCTGCCATCCTGGTATTTTAGGGTTAGTGCTGGAAGTCTGTAAGCAATTCCTACCTCCAGCAATGGGAAGCAATAGCAGTGAGACATTAAAAGTATTTCTGTAGCTTATTAACTCTGTTCTAGCAGATGTTGCAGAGACATTTCACATCTCTAGAGAAGGCCAGTTCAAAGTAAGTATAACATCATGATCTTGATTTCCCTTGTCAGACTAGAGCGTTTTCAAGTCTTTAGCCTCCCTTTTGCTGAGCCCAGGTCTGTGTGGGTTTTTTGAATTTTATTTTCATGCACAGCCTAGTCACCTCAGTCTAAAAAGAGACCTTAGGGCACACTTCCATTTCCCATTTCAGGATTTCCCACCCTACTGGAGCATGAGCACGAGGCCTCCTCCTATAGCACCAGATAGAGCAGAAAACAAATTACAATAGGATGACCTAAAAAATTAAAAATTGCTAGGAGGTGAAACAAAACCCTGCACAACAGGACCATTTATTACAGCAATTCCTGAATACCAGTTTGAGAGTGTGTCAGTAATGGATTTTTCACTTTGAGCGTTTTTTTTAAGTTTTAAATTATGGGATATAAAAAGCTCTGCTTGTGTGAGCTAACCTAGAAAAGAGTCATCCTTAGAATGCAATGGAAGCTTGATATCTAGATGGCAAGGACAGAAGAGCAAAAAGAGAAAGATAAATGTTCTTTGTAGTTCCTTCTTTGAAACTACCATTCCTGGTTTCACCTTTAATTCAGAGGTGGATTAGAGCATTAAAAGAGTCTCTGTAGGCAAGTTAAAGGGGACTCCCACTGGAGCTCTGGTCTAATTAAGCTACTTTAGGAATCATCCCAGTTTGACTAACTCAATTTCTTTTAAAAAGTAATCACTTAATACATCAAACCAAGAGTTCAAGCCCCTTTGTTTTTAATAATCAAAGAAGAAATGCTTGGGTTTGAGATTTGCAAGCCATCATTTCGTGTTATGGAAGACAGTCCCTATGCTAACTGCTGTGCCAGCAGCAGCCCTGCCACAGCTCAGACATGGCAGCAGAGCGCTGCTGTCACACAGATCATTGTTCTGGACACAGAGCAAAGGGGACACAACTCTTAGACAGTGTCACATGCTGCAGGGACAAACAACAAACCCAAGGGGGCTGAGCAGAGCTTAACCCTGCTCGCTGCTTTAGTCTCTCCTGCTATACTCAAGTGTGGCCCGGGAAAAAAGCTCTTCTCTCTCCAAGCTCCAGTCCTGCCCCCTTTTCCCTTCCCAGGAGCTGAGAGCTGCTTCAGGCCAAAGCAGAACCTGGGAAGGATTCTGTAAGGAAATTGTGGGGCAGAGCCCAGAAGGCTCCATGGATACACACAGACATCCATCTCTGTCACACATCAGGAGCCCTTGGCTCAGTGTCACAAGTGGTGACAAAGGTCAGGCTGTGGATTAGGCACAAACCCAATTTTTGCTTTGATGGTATCTCAATGGGAGCACTTAAAACTGCAGTTTATATTTTCATAGCTGAGTAAGCACCTAAGACATAAAACAGTAATGTAATTAGAGATATGTGGAGCAGCTCTAATGCTGGATGTAAATGAATGTCTGTTGGTTTAACAGATATTTCCACATCAGTTTCTATCAGCACCCTCTCTGAAACTAATACATCCAAAGCCATACAGGAACAAAGCCACACTAGGATATCAAAGTAACCTTACAGAGCAATAAAAGCATAAGATAAAGGTCATTACAGAACTGGTATGCACTGATTTGCCTTTATCATCTGTACAAGTGTGTCCAGACATAAAGAGGGGATCATAGAAGCTGGAAAAGAGATTGTGTAGCTGGAAAAAGTCAGCAGTCAGGAAATCCAGCTATTTTTTACATTCTTTAATTTCACTTGAGGACTGAGCAGCATTTTTGCTGTTGATGTTGTTGCACATCAGCACTTCATGCTTAAGAGCACCAGCAGCAGCATGTTCTGCCCTGACATCTGGGAAACAAGAACAGCCCAGGACAGGGCAGGCACTGCCAGCAGAAGACATGAATGCCTTGACTGAGTTCTAATGCACAAAACTCAGCTCCAAGGGTATCCACATTTCATCCCTGCATTTCTGCTTCTGTAAAACCTCTGACATGTTTTGAGCCAGAGCCAAAATAGTCAGATGAAAAACCCCAACAATTTATTGAGACATCAAGACAACAAAATAGACTTTTCTTAATGAAATGTATGAATACTCAAAAAACCACATTCCACTATGCCTTTGTGTTTCTCGCACTTTTGATGTTAATTAACACACTGACTTCTGAGAGGCTTTGCTTGCTCTGCAGCACATTTAGGAACATCATTTAGTGCTAGGCTTGGCAGTGCTGGGTTAATAGCTGGACTCCATAACATTAAAGGTGTATTCCAACATAAATGGTTCTAGGATTCTGTGTTTCCAACCACAGAACTGCAAGAATTGTGTTTTCCACATCTGCTGGTATGAAGATGAATACTTTAAAATGTGTACAATCATTGCAGTGAGAGGTGTGTAAACTGCAAGAAAATTTGGATAGAACACAGCAATGCTCACTTTCACCTGACCAACAAAGCACAAAAACAAACAAACACCTAAAAAAACCCCACCAAAACTCAAAAAAACCCCAACCACTGTCAAACCTATAGTTCAGAACCAGAAAATCACGTTTTCCACAAAGTTTTGGGCAACGCAGTGGTAGGTTCCATCTCTAGGTTTTGTGCTACCAAAATAAGTAGAATAAACTGTTGTGATTGCCTGCCTGTACAGGGAGGAAACAAACCACATGAGGATTAACAGCTACAGAATAATGTACAACACCCAATGCAAAATCTGTGCTGCAGGGTAAGAGCCAGAAAAACCTATATCCTGGGGCAAGGATCTCAGCGTAAGTGTGCTGTCTCATTAACAGACTGTTTTATTACTAGGATTTCTCTTATTTTCTTGTTTCTCTCCATCCACACTCAATTTTTGTTTCTTGCTGTCCTGTTTTCTTCCTTGTCTATTTTCCCCTCAAACTGGACTTTTCACGCCATCAGATAAGCAATGGAACCTCTGGCGCTTTTCAGACAAACTGCACCAGAAAATTTCCTCATGTTGGGAAGAGACTCTGTAACTCAGTTTGGCTGTTTGAGTTTGCAGCCTGACCAAAGCTCTGACCTTCACACAGAATGCAAGGAGGCACTTGCTTACCACCCAGCTGCAATGGGATCTCCATGCCCAGCATTCCCAACAGTCTTTGGAAAACAAATCCCAAATCTAGAGCCAGGCAATAGGTGTAAGGCATTTTTTGAAGATCTCTCAGCAAGTGCTTTGTAATTAGGAATTGCAGGAAATTACTCAATGGTTTGAGTCTTAATTTTCCCTCAGTTTCTAATTTAGCCAGAAGGAATCAATAAGTGCCCAGTTCAGAATCTCTACCATCTCTGAAACTTGGATATTCACAGAGAGCAAACAGCTCTTCCTGTAGAAGGTCCCAGCTGAGGGATGTAAATGCTGAACTGCATGGAACGCCATTTATTCCCGCTGCTGTGGAAACACAAAAGGTTGAGCTGACCCTCCTATGATTCAAATCTGAGTTTACAGTGTCATTCATCATCTCAGACCGGGTGTGTTCCAGTCTCCTTGAACAAAACTATTTTCTCCTCACATTTGCTGCACAGAACTGGCTGAATTTCAATTCCAAGGTGCATTGTACAAAGAACAGTTTTGGAGTGAAAGATGTCAAGCTGGCAAAAACTGAAAATTAGATTGGAATGAAATCTAATTCTTTTAATATACAAAGTGTTTAGTTTTGCCTCTGTAATATAATTTGAAATCACGGAGCAATCATGTTTCTTGGCTGTGGAGGCTGGTTTTGTATCCAGCTGGATGAAATGAAGGATTTTAATAAGAAATTATGCAACAAATAGGTGGAACTTGTGTCACATACAGCAAGAAAATACTTTTCACCTCCAAGCACCGAATATTTGCTGGTGCCAGGGAATGTTTGCTGGGTGACTCCTCCTTGATTTTGGTCATGCACTAAAACCCACCTTTTATTGTATCAGATGATCTTATCAGTGACCTAACAAGAGAAGGAACCAAAAACCTTCCAGCGCTGGGATTCTGTTAAGCCTCTTTTTTTAGCACCTGGAGACAGTGAGAAGTGATGGGGGGCACTGGGGGCACAAGCATCCTCCTGCCAGAAAAATGATTCTGCCAACTTTGCCTTGCTCCAAGGCTTTCCGCTGCAGGCTCCAGGTGTAAAGCCGGGAGCTGGAAGAGGCACTTCCCTCCCGCCTTTGGGGCGGGCAGGAGGGGAGGTGGTCCAGCCGCACGGTGACAGATGATGCAAATCCTGGCGGAGCGCGGGATCCATCGGGGCGGCG